TGAGCCGAGCCATAAAGCCATCGGCTCACGGTTTGTGAACAGTAACTGAAAATCTGCCTCTTTTATATTTAGTTAGATAATATCAGGATATTCTTTTTGTTTATGAGTTCTTTTAGTTTATTCAAAGTTTGTGTATAATTGAATTTGTTGAATTCAAATACTATTCGAATAAGATTTATGTTGATCATGCATTGTGATTCATCGTGTGATATAAAAAGTTATAATTTTTTAAAAAGAGTCAATATTTCATAAAATGTTTGCATGAATGTGTCTTATTGAATGTATTTTTGTGCTATTTGTGATTGGTGTGTATTAACAATAGTTTGTAATTAGGTTTGTGTTAACCGTTGCTGGTTGTGATTAGGTGTGTGTTAATTGTGACCGTCTATGGTCATGTCTGTGTTAACTATAATTGCTTGTAACTAGACCCGTGTTAACAGGGGTATGTATTTCACAAGCTTTAAAGGATCCTATTTGTGATCGGGTCTGTATTAATTATTACGATTTGTGACCAAGTCTAAGTTATTTTCCAATGTATGTGATCAAGTTCGTGTTAATCGTGATTGTTTGTGACCAAACTCGTGTTACCTATAACTGCTTATGTCATGTAATACGTTGACCGTGACCTACTATTTTATGACTATGACATTTTTATAGCAAATAAGCTGTCAACATTTCATATAGAAAATAACCTAAATTCAGTTTATATAAGCCTTGATAATTCCGTTTATTTACATTGATTTCATTCCATACATTAAAGCCATAAATTGAAAAAAACTCAAAATGCTAATTAACAAAATGCCATCCGTAGTATTAAAAAGGTAATAAAATGTTGTGACTTATGATTTGATTTAAACATGTCACAATTACATATAACACAATTTATAAGTCATGATTACATTAAGGGGCTGTCTGGGAGCCATTTTGGCTGAATTAAAATCCATTTTTTTACCGTTTGAAAAGGTAAGTGGGACCCAAACTGCATTGACAATTAAAATGGTCAAATGTTGTGGGCATGCAAAATGACATGAGTGCCCCTTCATGGTTTTAAACTTATCCAGCAATGAAGGATGTTTATGACAAAAATGTCATTTTCCACTCATTATTCAAAATTTCCCAGGCATGTCAGAATTCCTGCAAAATTTGTCTAAAGCAACGGTTATTTTACTTAAAAATGTCATTTCACGATTATCAAACTTGGAGAAAAGTTTAAAAAATAAAGTCTTAAATCAACGTAATTATATTTTACAACTTAAATAAGGATAATTAACCATCATTATCATTATCCGAAAAATAAATTTTATTTCATTTTTTAGAATAAACTCTCTCACATCACATATACCACATATTTATCTCTACCTCTCACTTTTTATCTCTCTAAAAAAAATTCACTCTTTCATTGCAAAATCTACAATAATTTAATACAAATTGGCCATAAATTGAAGATTCTACTTTATCAACAACGCGTTTCCATTGATTGAGTCACAGTGTCGTTCTCAAATATTTTAGCACTTCCTCGGTCCTCATTGTCGTTTCCAATCGCAATGGTAGTGGAACTGAAGGAATGAGGAGAGCAAGCTACAGGTCTACGGGAATAGACGACATTCCTCCAGTTTTGGAGGAGCAAGAGGCAAAAAGGAAGAACGGAGTATCGTGGCGTGGAGTAGGGAGCAACATTTGTAATTATGAAATTGGAAGACTTAGGGGGTGTTTGACACCCATATTTTGGATAATAGAATTTTTAAAATAGAGATTGATGGGAGAATGTGTGGTGGAAAAATTATAAAAAAATTTAGATTTGTGCGTAATATTATTTTATTGAGAGAATGTGTGGTTGAAATGAAGAAAAAGAGAAAAACGAGTGCCAAACAGAGGCTTAATGGTGCTTCAGAGAAGAATTCAAATTTAAGATGGTGGAACGAATGAAGGTCGGTGAGTGAAAGGCAAGTTTCTTCTATAATGGCGGGAGTGGTTTATAAATTAGACTTAGATGTGGATGATGTATCTATATGCGACCATCGTTTTTTTTTTGGGAGCTGCTACAATTACTGGGGGGTTGACAACCCCCCTCACCGGCCCCTCACAATGGTGGGGGCCCACCTGTTTTTACAGGTGGGCCCCCCACCATTGTGAGGGGGGTTGTCAACCCTCTCGATACAAATATAATTTCCTTTTTTTTTTTAAGATATCTAACCCTCACGATTGTTACAATTGTTGTGACTAATACATCTCATTTGTGAACTTCTTATGTATAAACTGAATTAAATTAGTGACCATTTCCATTATCTTTTAATTTCAGATTTTAAACCTTCATGACCGTAACCATTCCTATTTTCCGTGACCAACGTATAAGTGCTATGCCCTATGTTCAATCGATTTTGGATATAAACGCTTTTAATATATACAATCGATCCATTTTATTTATGACAAGATCTATTATTTATTTGAATTGTTATTCTAATAAATTAAATAATATATAGAATCGATAAATTCAAATTTTGATAACTTGATAATCACAAGGAGTTGTGATTGTGAGATAAAAATTACATATGA